GGTCACGATCATTGTTTTGTTGTTGACGTCAATATCAACACGGCCTTGCTCACGATTGTTGTGGACACGTCACTCACGGGCTTGTCTTAGTCCTGTCTCTTATACACATCTAGATGTGTATAAGAGACAGCCCTTACACGGCATTATCCGTACTGTATTTTGACCGGAAATTCGGGCAAATGCATTACGGGAGTCCTGATGTAATTGCGCACAATGAACAGCTCAGTTCGCCCCTCTGCGAATATGTGCGTGCGTGCGTGCGTGTGTGTGTGTGTGTGTGTTTGTGTGTGTGTGTGTGTGTGTGTGTGCGTGTGTGTGTGTGTGTGTTTGTGTGTGTGTGTATGTGCCCGACATGAGCGGCAATAGAGACAGTCTGTGCGACAGTGCGAATCCAGATCCCGTCCACACTGAGGGCCACCTGAGATCTATCTCTTGGGTGAATTAAAAGGTTAAAAAAAAAAAAAAAAACCTAAAAAAAACAGCCGTGTTTGTTGCCAGAAGAAGGTAGACGAAGAAGGTAGGCTGTCACTCCCATCTGTCCGACTTTTCTTTTTGTCTTCTTTGTTTCAGGCAATTCAGACTTCTATTTTCTTTTTTTTTCTTTTTTCTTAAATTTGGACCATTTCTCGACTTATGCGTGTCATCCTTGCGCAGGGGCCATGCTAGTCTTCTCTGTATCGTTCCAATTTTAACGGATGTCCCGAAGGACAGTTATTTTGTATTATCAGCATGGCTTATTAACAGTTGATGGCTCTGCCAATTCAAAAAAAAAAAAAAAAAAAAAACAGTTCATGGGTCTAAAAATTCAGCCTCAGCCACAGCCACATGGGGTTTGCAGTTAAGGAGCTCGTAGTTGGATTTTGGGTGGGAGAGGTCGGTACTGGCCCTTTCGGCTTTTCTTGCCGGGGATGCGTTCCTTCAGCTTCCTTGCCTTTATTGGTCGGGGTCCAGAACTGGCGCTTTTTCTTTGAAAAAGTTGTTCAAAAAAAAAAAAAAAAAAAACCGAAAAAAAGAAAAGGGTCTTTCTACCGGCAGTATCTTAAATGCATTTGACCCCGTTTACGGCCGGACCTGTGTGCATGCATCTTGCCCAAATTCCATCCAGAAGTAACTTCAACTATTCAGTCAAAAAGTGCTAGTGTGAGTAATGCCGTCACACTACCATCTGCTCCTGGTATAATTCAATGAAGTCAGATTGCACATGGTGTCTGTCCCCTCCTTCCATCTCTCCCTCTCTCTCTCTGTCTGTCTCTCTGTCTGTCTGTCTCTCTGTCTCTCTGTCTCTCTGTCTCTCTGTCTGTCTGTCTGTCTGTCTGTCTGTCTGTCTGTGTCTCTCTGTCTCTCTGTCTCTCTGTCTCTCTGTCTCTCTGTCTGTCTGCCTGTGTCTCTGTCTGTGTCTCTGTCTGTGTCTCTGTCTGTGTCTCTGTCTCTCTGTCTCTCTGTCTCCAATGCACTTTTCAGGGTTGAGGGGGTTTAACCAGGGCTGAAAAGTGGGGTTCCCTGTTAACCGCTTATGCTCGCTTGTCAGAAGCAAATGGAGGAGAGGGTGGAGGAGAGGGTGGGGGAGAGGGTGGTGGAGAGGGTGGATGAGAGGGTGAACTAATAATTACTATCGAAAATCCCGTTTAGACGGGTTTGGCTGTGCTGCTTGTATTATCGAGTGACTTCATGGGTCCCGCTCCTCTACTCAACACTCCACACGCATTTGGACACCTGCATGGGTCTGGCTCCACTACTCCACACTAAGAATCAGAAAAGAAGGGTGACAGTGACAGACTGTGTGTGTGTGTGTCGTGGATTTTCACCACAACAGTCTATTGCAGACAAGGAAGCAGGCCTTGAAATGAACAAATCCAACAAGGAAACAGTTTTACCTCTTTTGCAAGGAATATGGAGAGGAATAGATCGGTTATACGCTTTCTTGACTATCTTTACTTTGGCTTTCTTTAGGGTACCCCTTTTATTTATTCTTGCAGCTCCCGCATTTTGCTGTACCTCTCACGTACAAAGCTTGTCATGTTCGCTACATACAACTCCACAAAAAAAAGCATGACTGTGCCAGACTCTTTCGTCGGGCTTTATGACCAAGTCGTCAAGTGTGTGTGTGTGTGTGTGTGTGTGTGTGTGTGTGTGTGTGTGTGTGTGCGTTTTGAATTTTCACCACAACAGCCCCTAATCCACCCAGATGAGTAGAACCCAAATCGAAGCAGCTTTAGTCCTCTTGCAGACAACGAAGCACACTTGAGTTGAGACATTTGAAGAATGACACAGTTTTACCTCTATAGCAAGCAACATGGACCACAATAGATCCGTTTTAATCCCTTTCTTAACTATAGTAGTATAGTTACTTTCGTTTTCTTTGGGGTACCCCTTTCATTTGTTCTTGCAGCTCCCCTTTTATTATGCCTCTCACATACAAGGCTGTGTGTGTGTGTGTGTGTGTGTGTGTGTGTGTGTGTGTGCGTGTGTGTGTATTAATAAGGCATGGGGGTGAGCAGGGGATTAGGCAGCTAGGGGCACCGGCGCAACAGGAAAGTGCTGCTGCGGGGATAGGCAGCTAGGGGTGAGCAAGCCAAGTTGGGGATAGGCACCCATGTTCAGATCCAGATGCTGTAAAATGAGCAAGATAGAATACTTCTAAAATAGCCAAGTTGGGTCAGTTAAATGATGATATCTCAAGGCTGAGAAAAGCAAGGCAGCAGACTTGGCAGTACGCAAGGCAGCAGACTTTACAACTGGCAAGGCAGCAGACTTTACAACTGGCAGAAAGTAAGTGGTACACGAGAGGTCGTGGGTTCGATTCCCCATTGCAGCCATTTGTTTCCCCACGATCTCCTGTGTGGCATACTTCGGGTTCACCGACTGAGAAAGTCGACTTGTCCCTCCTGGCTGGTTGTGGAAGTTCGAGTCTTTCTTTCCAGCCCGCACCAGGTGTTCGGAGCATAGCTAGGTAGGTGTGAACCCCATAACCTTAGGATCGCTTAGGCCTGGTGAGTAAATTTAAGTCTGGTCTGCTGTCGTAGCCGTAAGACTCCAGTCTTAGACCCTAGATCCCCTTGGTGTGTGGATGGACTCCTGTTTGTCCATGGTAGGTAATGGGAGGTAAAAATAAAGCTGATCCCTTCATTGTCCGGCGCAGGTGGTGCGAGGTACAATACTGAGAGAAGATGATAGCATAGTAAAAAGTGTGGCTGTCCCCAATATGAGGATAAGACATGCCTGTTACCACTAACGCAAGCCAATATAGCATTGGCGCAGTGCTGGCTCAGCAGGAAGGGAAAGAGTTGAGACAGGTCGACTACATGAGCAAAAAGATGCCATCAAAGAAGTTGACAAAGTCCACCTATGAGAGGGAACTCTATGCCCTCTACAAGGCACTTGTCCACTGGAGGCACTATCTCTTGGGAAGGTTCTTCTACTTGAGAACTGACCATCAGACCCTCAAGTGGATCAAGACACAACCAGTTCTCTCTGATGCACTTAAACGCTGGATTGAAGTCATAGATTAGTATGACTTCAAACTAGACTATGTGAAGGGAGAGTACAACAAGGTTGCAGATGCGTTGTCTAGGAGGGAATATTACCTAGGTGCGCTGATTTATGAGTTTGGCTTGTCTGAGGACGTTACTCGATCTTTGGGGGAAGCCTACAAGGAAGATCCCATCACGATGGACATCATCAATAAACTGCAGGCCAAAGACAAGGCCACCACTGACGAGTTTGTGATGGTGGATGGGTTACTCTTTCTTGAAAAGGCAGGGTTCAAGAGGTTAGTTGTTCCATCTAGGGAAATTTTGCGTAGTTTGTTTTTCGGAGAATGCCACGACGCAACGGGACATTTCGACTACAAGAAGACTAGTACTAACTTAGTACAGCGATTTTGGTGGCCTAACATGCTAGACGATGCAAAGAAGTACGTACAGACCTGTCAGGTCTGTCAGCGGGACAAGCCGCACTCAAGCTCCGCTTGGGTTACTCAAGCCTCTACCCATTCCTGCTGGCCCATGGCAGAGTATCTCCATGGACTTCATGGATACTCTCGTGACCAGCAAGAATGGCAAGAGGCACATCTTCGTCATAGTGGATAGTAAAATTACTAAAATGATGCGCGTGCCTCGCCCGCGTGCCCCATCGCCAACCAGCGCGCCCGCCATCGTGCGGCCACACGCAACGAAGGAACCCCCAAAGAAACC